GGGAGTAGAAGGAGAAAATAAAATCCTTGACTTTTTCTAGTCCTAGTTCAGCATTTACCTTGCTGTTACAATGCACAACAGGTTTATGACCTTAGTTAATCAACCAAATATTAAACTCCATTAAACTTTATGCTATTTCTAGGAACAGGAAATTCAATCTGACACCATTTTATTAGAAAATAATCTATGGCTTTAAAACATCATGAAAAAAGCAATCCTTGCAACACTTCTAACAGCTTCTAAACTATTTTAGGTCAAAATATGAAAACAATTTGGTTTTATTGTGAGGGCAATCTTAGCAGTTTTGCCTGAGTCTAAATTATATTTTTCTACATCAGACATTAATAGGGATAGATAAAGTTTTTGAGGGTTGGGTTAATATTTTCAGATACTCTGTGGTTAATAAGGTATTTTAAAATAAATAGTGAGTGGGTGGAACATTTAAATATACATATAATTTTAGGAAATGTGTATTCGCATATGAGATAAGAGAAGCAGCATGTACATGATACACCATTATGGCTCCAGATCAGATTTTCTTCTGATTTCCAAGAGATTCCTATACTGTTTTCTGCTTTCATTGTGTTTTACTAGATTCACAGATTCCATGACAATCTTGAGTCATATAATGCTTAGATAAATGAAGTTTTTTCAACCAATATATTTCTGTCTACAATTGTATGGTCTAAGGTTTCACAAATTTTATGTACCACATTGAAAGTGTGTTTTTTTTTCCTTTTCCTCTTTTGTGAGAAATTATAAACTATAGTCACGAAGTAAAGTATAGCATTCATATGTGGATATTTTTTTTTCATTCCTTTTATCTAGGAAATAGATTAGTCCTGTTGTGTACTGTGATTCTCCTAGTTCAAAGAACAAAACTGCAGGCAGATACCCATAGAAAACTTTTCAGTAGACAATACAATATGTTTTTAGCTGCATTGATACTGAGCAGAGGAAGAATTCTTGGTGTGGAAAAAGCATTTCTGGGGTGTAACTGTATCTCAGGATATATCTGGGAAACTTAGTGACACCATAGTTAAGACCGCAAGGTGTCGACCTCTGCTTATCTTGTAGACTTCCCTGTTTCCGTCAAATAAATAAAATGTTATTTCCGTCTTTGGCAATCCACTTTTAGAGTCACAGACCAATAAAATACACTTGGCCCCACCTAACTATCACTAATGAAGTGAATACAATGTTGTCGCAAAGCAGTATTGCTCTACATAGATTCTAAAGTAGAGACAAATTCTACATATAGAAAAACAAAATCAGCCACATGACAGGCTGCAACCAAGAATTTAATACTAGATTTGATATAGGTAATTCTGTGCACCTTTTAAGTCTTTAATGATCTTAAAAGTCAATGTAATTGTACACTTCATAGTATATTTATTTCTTTTTCAGAATGACAAACTATTACTTTGCTTTATATCATACAAGAGTACTTGTCCATAAAAATCAGATGCTGCCATTTTATATTTCATAACATGCTTTTATCCAAAATCTCTAAAAAGAAAAAAGGACAGGAAATATTTTGTTATTGATAAGTGCCAGCATCTGAAAAGTAAATAGGATAAAATAACAGAAAAGACCTTAACTTTAGAGGGAACTTCCCCTTTCAAAGCAACAAAGAAAACAAGTAAAATGGAAGTAATTTTTTTTTCCCCCTCAATTCTTAGGGAGAAGGAGAGGTTTTTGTTGCTATCGTCAAATTTCATGAATCCTGCAGTGATTGCATTAATCCAGCCATCAGAATTAGTAGGTTAGGAAGGTCTGTGCTATGTCTTAGTGGGTATATGACTTAATAGAGTAAGTACACTAAGTTTATTCTTTTGAATAAAAAAAAGTAAGTCAAAATGTCTGTTGTTTAACTCTGTTGAATTCAGTAGATTTTACACTGGCCAAAGCAAAGTAAGGAGTCTTGCCTTAATTTGTCTTCAAGCAAGCTACCTTTACATGGATGTTTCTAATAGCACTCTTAAAAACATAAACTTTTCAAGATGCCTGAAAATCTCAATTTAAAATAAGTCTATTCAACTCTCATATGGTGGAAGGAAAGAGGTGTTGGCATTTCACTATAAGATGAGAGTAGTTGTAATGTTTGATATGCTTTTTAAGGAGGACTTGTGGCCTGTAGTTAGATACTGGAGCTCATCAGAAAGATAAATAAATAAAATAGGAAGTCTTTTTAAAAGATCTTGCTAACTAATTTACTCAAATAATGTCGTAACCTTTCTAGGACAGAGAAAATATTTTTTATATTTTACATTATTTAGTCAATAGAATATACTTTATACCATTTGGCTATGAAATATAAATAGCATTCAAAGAAAGAATTTGAATCAGATTATAAACTGTGAAAACCTGCAGTCATGTAATTTATGGAGAGCATTATACAGCAAGTGTATTATGCATACCGTATGTACATACTATAGCAACATCTGTCATCAAACGTAAGGGATTTCCATCTTTCTTTCTTACTGCAATAATATAATCAATAGGTAAGCATATATAATGTAACAACAAATTTACTCGATTATTTTAGAACTGTGAAACAGAAAATCTATATATGTAAGAGTTCTTAAGACATTAGAGTAAAGCATATTTCTTTCCATAGAAAACACATCGAAAAAAAGCCCCTAACTTAATTTCATAACAAGGGGGAGCTTTTTGGTTTTTTACAGATATAGAAGGTGGAAAAGCAAGGGAATTGTGCTGTTTACTCTGAACTACATTTAAATCTCCTTTGAGTGTTATGTGCTAAAATCAGCATTTTTGACATCTTAATCCAGATGCATGAATTATCTTCCCACAAACAACAAGGAGATTAATAAAAAACTGTTCTCTCAGCACCTTGCTGATTTAATACCTGCTTAACTCTTGCAGTGTATTTCGCTCTCATTAAACTGCATACACATGGTTCATTTTCTTTTTTCTTCATTTTTTTTATTGAAAATCTTACATGTATGACTAAAAGTCGTGGGCAATAACTTTCAGTTCCATTACAAAATCTGTCATATATATATATATATACCTCTATATATATATATTTAATACAACTAGAAGCAAATCTACTGAATTAGGAAACAATGATTGTCTACCAAAATGTAACTCAAATTAAATACGTTGTAGATGATTAAAATTATTTTGTTTTCTCTGATGGAGCTGAAGGCCACTTTCACATAGTTAATTGATAATGCTGGACTACAAAAATCACAAAGCCTTAATGATAATTTCCCATCTCCCAGCCTGGTGTCATCCATACATTAGGATTTTAGTACAAGGATCCTTCTTTCAGAAAGAAATACTTTTAGAGTGAGCATCATCCTCTATGGAGTACCTTCTATTGACAAACAGTCCTGCAAACAATTCTGTATGCCTGTCAGTAATTGCATTTCAAGTTAGGTACAAGCAAAAAAGTTTGCAGGAGCAGAGTCTAACTTAGGAACTCATCTACAGATTATCTAAAACAAAACAATCTGAAGTAATACTCAAAAACACTATTTTACTTGAATATATGCCTTATTATCTAGTAATAAATCATGAAAGATGAAGTATAAATATTGTCAGAATCATAAAAAAGTTGTCTTATTCTAAGAAATCCTACTTCAAAATCGTACAGTATTTTAACCAACAGCAGTCATCCTTCTGTTTTGGCACTCCTGAACCAGCGTAGAAATTATGCGTAGTGAGTTAACACCTTTGGGGAAAAATATTTATGTGCAGCAGGATCTAAAGATGATTTCTGGAGTTAACAGCATTACATTGCTTAACATAAGAAAGAAATAGAAAAGAGTCTTTTACTGTGATTCAGCAGCAGCAAAAGAGAAGGGGAAGGAGAAAAGCCAGGTGTTTACAGTCTTTGAAGCATATAGCATGTTTAACCTTGAAAATTAAATCTTGCATTAAAGACACTCCCAGCTACCTCTTCAGTCTTCTTTCCAAAAATTTAATGTACGTATTTTATTTAAATGTCTCGGACTTTGTAATGGCTCAGAAGAACAACTGCATGTCCTTGTAGCTGCTCTCCTTTCTGAGAGACGAATGGTGGGCAAGATTGCTTTACTGTAATTTCTCCATTTCCATGCTTCATTTCCTACGTTTATCTGAGACTGGAGAAAAATCAGCATGTTTTGACCAGTCTAATATCATGAGGCAGTAAAATGAACCTGAATTTAGTGGAGATCGGAGCTCCAAAATAAATATAACACTTTATGTCAAATAATACTAAAAAAAGATCAATTCTCCTGTACAAATCAGAAGAGATAATAAAAAATAGCAAATAGATAGCAACATCTTTTCTATACCTACATGGGCATCACAAAGCTTTTCAACCTTAAGAATACCCTTCCATATTTCTCATTTTATGTGGTGGTTTGCAAACTACTTTGGCAAGTTGATGACAAATATTGTGTAATTTCTTAGTATAAACAGTAATTTTTTGTAAAACTACTCAGAAAATTACAGAGAATTCTAATTAAATAGCTCTGAGAACAAACAAGGAGAAGAAGAAAAAAAAGATCTGCTGGGCTTTTGTTTGTTTTCACGTCTATCCTTCTGCTTGTGGCCTAGCAAGTTGCATGCGACACTGTAAAGAAAATTTGTTTAAAAAACCTTGCATCTGTAAATACTATTTATTGTAATGTTGCATGGAATGATATATTATATTTGTAAATTTGTTTCTTCTTGCACTTATCTCATACCAGAGACAATGTGTTCTAGATATAGCTTTACTGCAAAGGCATCTACAGAGTATCGTTGGCTTATTGAGGTCACAGCACAAAACACACCCTTGAAAGTGAGTTGCCTCTGCAGGTATCTGAGGATTGCTATCTATTTGAACGTGGCTGAGCATTTAATTTTATCAAAAATGCCACCAAATGCTCATATTCTGTGTGGTCAGTGCAGTCTCTAGGACAAGTCTAATGAAGATATGTTCCACCAAGGCAAAAAAACCTAAAAGGTTAAAAATGGAGAAATATTTACAACTTTCTTCAGTCTGTAAGGTTGAGTTTTCTGTTTTAGTATTCTTCAGTGCATTTTCAGATAAAGGTTCCAAGGCTATGAGTATAAGCAGTCTGGTCCAGTCCCATACATATCCGCGAGCCTTTTAAAGCGAGGGCCCCAGTCACTGAGGTAATCGTAGTTCTGGTCAGAGTTTGAGCTGATGGAATCCAAAGAACTGAGTGACTCTGCCACCGAGCCGTTCCCCTCAAATGCGTATGTCTGCAGAGAGTCATAGGGCGGCGCGCAGGGGTCCACGTCAGCTTCTTTTAGTCTTTCCCAGATAAACTCCCTAAAAATTACATTATCTGGGATGCTTTTAAAAGTCGGTCTGCTCAAGAACTGGATCTCAGGTGTCACATCCCTTCTGGCCTTAGTGTCTCGGATAACGTTGAGGTTTCTCAAGGCAGCCATGTCAAAAGCCTCAGTGTCTTCTTCTCCACCACCCTCATCATCATACCTGACAATGTTCTCTCTGATATCTCTCTCTTCATCAAAAATGAGGGGCTCTTTTTTCCGTCGCCTCATGGTGACAATCAGCAAGACAAGAACTGGAACACAGAAAGACTGGAGGTTTAGCAATGCCAAAGTTTCCTCGTATTTTTTCCTAGTGGTGGAAGTACTCACTAATTTATACGGCAAAGACCCAAGGACATAGCAGGCAATTTATGCAGTTAAATTTGAAACCTAGCAGGTTCTGAAACAGCTTTTAAACCATAAGCTTTTCAGACGTTAAAGAATCTATTTCCAAAACCATTCTGGATTAACGTCTTCATCTCTAATTCTATATCCTATGCTTTCCGCTAAACATAAATTTTAGGACTGGTTCAGTCTGACTATTACAATCTCACAGCCATGAAATAAAAAAGGACCTTTTCCTGAACTCTTAATTGCCCAAGCGATAAAAGCACATTCATAAAATAACTGAATAGAATTTAACAACCATGGTTTGGGAAGAGACTGAATTAAAGTATATGGCCAATCTCTGCTGAAAAAAAAAAAAAATCGTAGATTGGAGAACACTGAATTGTTAAGTAATGTGTAAAATAAGACTGTCTTAGTTCATGGATTAAAAGTATCGCTGTATAAGACTTCACTTTCCTATAAAGTGCAAAGTACTGTACTTGAGGTTTATGAATTACATCTGATGAGAACTGTTAGGGTTGGAGTTCATTGGATCAGCCAGTGCTAGAAATGTAATTATTTTTTTAATTTTAATCCTTAAAGTTTCTTTCAGCTTGAAAGCTAATACCAAGCTGCAGTGACAGCCAAAAGAAGTGAGAGAAACTAACTCGAGGCTCCTCTTGTTCAAATACAGTTTTGGTAGAGAAATATCATTGCTGACACACAAAATATGGAACCAGTAATATGAATATTGCACCCATCTGTGGGACATGATGGAGTGTGAATCATCCTCCTAGAAAATGATTAATACTATATTGTAGCATCTGGATAACATTTGCTGAATTAATGATACTCCTAGAAAATAACTGTCATCACTATGACTGTAAAAATATCACTCCGTTGAAAAGTGTCATTCCACATTCAGTTAATGTCTTCTGATTTTATGTTTATTTTTAATCTTAAGAATATGTGATTATATGCATTCATATGTTTAAGGTTTGCAATCTTCACATACAGTACTTTGATATACCAACTAAATTCTGTATAATCATCTGGAAAAGCAAAAGCTGATATAAATAAAATTAAGATTGAGCTTCACTAGGTAGTCTCAAAAGTGGTCTCCATAAATAGTATGATGTAGGACTGTCATTCTTGAAAGCCCTTCTTTTCATGGAAGAATTTTTTAAATCAATATCAATCTAGTGATCATGAGACATGATTTAATATTGGGATTACTTGGTTAGAATAAACCCGTCATTCAGAGACTGCACATGCAGAAAACTGTATCATACATCTACAGATGTTATGGTACTATTTGGAATTGGCTAAAGCATAAGATGACTTTAAAGGTGGACTTTCTGCAGTTCTTTTTATTTTCCTTTGGAGCCATGTATGTCTAAAAATAAAACTGGAACAAGTTCATTTTTTTCCTAAACTTTTTGACAAATGTATTAGGCAATACTTTTCCCTCTTTTTTCAGTAGCTACAAGGCACATATCTAATGATCCATCTAGTACCAGATGCCTTGTGAGTCTATATTACTGCAGCATTAACATCACGCTCTCACTTTTTTGCCCCTGGCATCTCCCTGACTCATGCTTTATATATTGAATTCAGAAGCCACTAGTTTGGGGCATTTTGCTTTGAACAATATTTACATAAGCAGTTTGACAATATAAGATTTTGACCTTTAAAGTGGCTTTTGTGAAATTTCAAAACATTCTTATATTTGTATAATACAAATTGAGCTGTAAATAACACAACAGAAAACATAAAATTGTATTCATAGAGACAATTGCGTTCTACTCTTAATGTCTTTCCTTATTATAAAAGATATTTTAAAGTGAAAGACAAATTAACTTGCTGACAGTACAAATATACATTTAAGCCAAGATTGTTATTGACATAACTTTTTAATTATTATTTTTAACATTTACTGCCACAATTTATATTGCTATGTAAGTAACCAGCTAATCATTTCCTTTACTCAACTGTAAATGCATTTTCATACTACTGTCCCTCTTACCAGACTTCATTTTGAGAGTTAAATACTATCTAATAAGTGAAAAATATGAAAGTTAGTAGGCAGGTCCGCCTAAAGGTACAATAAAAATCAAGATACAATGAATGTTTTATATAGTATTCCTTGTACATCTCACACTTGCTTGAAGCCAAGAAAAATATGGAGTCTTTCTAAAGGTTAAATATTTTAGCATTTAGATGGCTTTATGAGATCATTAATTTCTAGCCTTTGCAACAGCTATGAACAATAAAGTTTAACCTCTAAATGAACAAAGCTTTAGCTGCATTGCAGGAACTGCAGAGATGAATACAAGCCCAAAACAAATTCCACTGATATCTAAATCAAGTTCAAATGGTTTAAAAGCTTATCCATTTCTCATTAAGTCATGGTGGTTTTGGGGTTTTTTTGTATTTATCACAAAAGAAGGGATCAAGTCAGCAATTAGTGACTGGCTGAACATCCAGAAAACCTGATTTTATGCTTTTTAGAGAAGAAATAATACAGTGGAAAAGCTTTAGGGACACACGTATTGCACATTGAGGCCACTAGTTTGGCTCCCTACTGGTACACCAAACTCATGCTAAAGAGATGAAATAGCGATATTGATTTCATATGATTTAACAAGTAAATAAACCAATCAATATTAGAAGTAAGTAAGTATAAGGACTAAAGAACCAGATAATAATAAAGATAGATCTAAACTAACATTTTTGTTCTGATTTGCCTGAATTGTTAGAAATGTTGATTTTTTTTAACAGGTACAATAGCCAAGAGAAAATGTCATTTGTACTTATATTAACTGTGATAACACCTAGTTTTATTCTTGTGTCAGCATAGATGCGATGATACTATCAGTAGTTTCAGTTCATCTAAATCAATCTTTAAACAAATACCTTTGAATATAAGTGCAGATTTTTGCTTGACCATTTTGCAGTGTGCTTTATGGAACTATTATGAAATTTCATTTTTGGTATGATTTGGCAAAAAGACAAGTTTAAGTCACCAGAGCATATTTCTCTGTTTTAGTATTAATCTTTCCTTTTGTACTCAAGGCAACTGCAACATAATTGTAAGGAAGCCATAAAAGCCTTGAGGCAACCTGAGGGAGATGACTACATGCAGAGCTATACAGTAAGGGACAGAGCTAAATCACAAGCATTATCATGCTGTGTATACACTATACCCCTAAGCCTGGCACTTACTACAGCAATAAGCTGCATCAGCTGCAAGCAAATCTGCACATTGGTTGATGCCTTAGGTGTGTCATGATTCATAAAGCTGAAGATTGGAGATGTTCAGCCATCTAAGCAGCACACTAATAACCTATTTAGTTATACCTTACTGTTGCTCGTACAGTCAGATGAGATTTGGGGATTACAGAGGCCAAGACTCAGGAAACCTGCATTTAATTCCCTGTTAAGAAGCTTCACATATAGCTGTTGTTTAATCAGTTTGGAGTGATATTTGCAAAGTGACTGTGACCTTTAAATGCCCACACTGAGTGACCGTAATAGGCTCTATAACTTTCAGAAAACAGCTTCTGCATTGCATACTCAAACAACTTTTAAGTTACTTAATCTGGATACCTCCAAATTGAATCAGTTATAGATTTATCCCTTTAAAAACTGCAAGACCAAAATCCACATATGTTACATTGTCACATTCGGTACACATTTTATCTATTTAGAGAATAAGACCCTTATGACTAGGACTGTTTCTACTTGTTTACGAATCACACAATTACGTGCGGAGATTTAATTGGGTTCTTGTAGGTATTATGATAATAATAACAAACTCCATATCTTTCAATTGAAAAAAAAATAATAATTGAAAGCTGTATTTTGAAGTTTAATCAATGTATTATTAACTTGTAAAGTCTAGAACCTCATTAATAGGAGACTTTCTTTAGTGTTTCTAAGAAAATAGGTGGTACTAATAGATTATATTCAGAAGTATGGAAAATAAAAATAATAAAAAAGCATTACGTCAATTTAGCTTTCCATTGTTTCAATACAGAGAAAAACTTTAACCTCTCAAATATGATTGGGTTATCTACAGGTGAACATTCTTTTTTTGTGTGATTTTATGTACACATTTTATGCTAAACACTTGTTACAAAAGCAATTATTGTGTCTGGAAGATGCTAACTCAAAAACAAATTACCTTGAATTAAATTACCATATAATTTTCAGAGGAGTTAAAAATTTCCTACTTGCTTCTCTAAAGATTATGTACAGTCTAAAGTGAATACAAACTAGCTTTTCATATGCTTTTCACAGAATAAATTGCAAGCACTTTTTTTTCCCATTTTTTTCTTTAAAACAACCTCACTGCAGAGTGAATAATTACAAAGCATTTTTGAGTAATTAACAAAGTACTGGAACTTTCCTGTGGAATAAAATTTAGAATTTAATCTCCATCGGCAATATGAGGAGGGAAAAAGATTTTGATAAAATGTTTTTCACTTTTAAAAATTCTTTTAGTTTGAAAAAGTAGACTACACCATATTAGATGCAATTATAATGAATCAGCATGATTTAGTAACATTCTTCCTTCTTAGTGTCAGTGAAAACGTGCTTATCTAAAATCGATCGTTTGCTTAAGTAAAAATAATAATATTAAGAAATCCTACCAATACAATCTGAGCCTTGGTCAAGACAAAGGGTTATTTATTAGATGAAGGGATGTACTGGGCAAGAACAAATATCAAACTACATCATACTAACTTTGAGAAGGTAAGAGTTTGTTGAGAATTCAAGATACTAGTACCAGAATGCGTGCATTCATGACATTTATGCAAATCTCATCCCTCCTCTGCTTTACAGCTGGCACTCACATTGAGATGGCATCAGTGAATGTGACTGGATGTGTACCACTTCTTAATCTTGGGTCAGAAACAAATTTTCATCGGGTTGCCTCTCTCCTCTTTTCACTGATAAACTCTTGCACAAAAAGGTGCATCCCTTGGTCCCAGCCCTGGAACCGCTTGCCAACAGCCGAAGCCTATTTTTTATGCTATGCTAGTGGATCTTCAGGATTTTTCTCAGGAACAGATGTGAGAAGAAAAAGGGAAAAAGAAGAAAGACGGTTCCTAGCAGTACCACCATTCAGCTGATCTCAGAAAATATCTTCTAGGATGAGAGAAAGAAAGGCTCTGGGATCAGACAAGCAACGCTTGACTGGGGTTTCACTGGGCAGCCGTGGTGCTTGGGTACCTCTTCCTTGTGAAGACTGGCACCTGGCTGACAAAAAAACAGCAGCAGGATACGGTACCAACATGCAGGACTTAAAACCAGGTTTAGCACACAAATGTAGCCTAAACTGTGCCTGTGGCTTTGAACTGTACCCAAAAGGAAGAGTTTAGATTGGAAGTGAGGAGAGCACATACAAATGTCTATTTGATAAACAGTAGTGATGCATTCAGATAGCTGAATTTGGAAGTCAGTTCTTTGACAACTAAAACCAATGGTAATGTGGTCATCTGCCAGACTCTTCTCCAGTGCACCGCTCATTTTTCAAACACTGTATTCAGAGAGCTTATCCTCAATTCTTTACCAAACGCTTGTTCAGCACACTCTAAAAATGATCGGAATGAAAACTCAGGTTTCCTGATTTATTGGTGTGACTTGACTCCTGGTGTACTGAGTAGAATAAGCAAGTTATTGCCAGATAACTTGCTGTCTCTCCACTGGATGCTCTTCTTTAAGACATGTGGCTCCTATTTAAGGAAAGTTATGCCCAAGTCACACTGTCTTGTATCAACACTAGTTTCTTCTGTATACTTCAGAAACTTCCTTCTTATATATAATAGAAATGTTGACATTTCAATTTGGGATGAAGTGAATTGTTATCGTTACTGGACTTTTCTTTTTAAGTACATTGGATCAAAGTTTTAAATGGGTGGTTCTCCAGTAACGTCAATGTCAATTCACACGAGAGAATATTCTATATCTTTTTGAACTCTACCATTTAGCTTCATGTCCAGATAAAGTTCATTTGGGTGTATAGATGGCCTAGAAATGCTGCTAAAAAATGGTATTTTAAAAATGTTTATTAAAACTTTTGGCAATCATTCCCTTCCATTTCTCCTTAAATCTATGCCTAACCATGTGTTGAGTGAGTTTAAACAATCTTATGCTGTTAGATTGGATGGAAAGACGGAAAACTCTGGAAATGTCACCTCCTATACACAGCTGTTGAGTAAGCTGGTTGGGTTCATCGCAGAGGTAGTGATTTTTCTTGCTCTATAACAACAATGCAAGAGTATTTCCTTTTTTGAGTCCTTTAGAAATTTTTGTTGCAGAAGGCATATTTCCTTCTAATAGTTTACAGTGAAGTGAATCAAGTCAATAAGAAGAGAAATCTATACATTGTTGAAATACTGCCATGAACAGAAGTGTGGACAAAAGTCTTTTGATTTGACCTATTCAAATTACCTGGATAACAGTGACAGATAAATCAACACTGGGATTATGCCAACCTGAGGAGATGGTCCTCCTCTTTCTCTTAGACCCATATGTGCAGCCAGGGAATAGAAAAATCTCTCAATTGACAACAGCAATCAAGGAAATCAGTGTGTGCTCAATCAGTACCCTTGTTAACATGTCATCTTTTGAAAATATGCAAAACTGCACTTTTGCTCACCCGCATTCTGCATCCTGTGCATGCAGGATGATCCTTCATATTTACTCCTCTATTTAGGCCTTTACTATTGCCCTGTAGTCATTTTATTTAAGGACTAGGCATGAAATGAGAAATGCTAACCAAACTAGGATGTCGACACTGTTCCACTGTTTTGCACTATCTTTTATCTAGTTGCAGTTTCACTGCACAACACAAAAACCAACTGTGCTACCAGTTGTAGAAGTAACAAAAGATGTTTTTGTAGATGTTCAATTAAATATGATGATTCCCATTAGTAAATTACATCTGTTGTATTTTCTAAATGTCTTTTGTTCTCTGCAAATCTATAAATATTTAAAAAGAGTTATATTTCTGAAAAAGGGACACACACTCATGCTAATTATATGGTGAGTGTGCTAAACCACATACTTCCATAAACTGCATTGACTCTTTCTTAAATATAACATTTGATGCAAGTGATCTTTTTTTTTTCTACTATTATTTCATATATATCTCTGGAAGCAACATGACATAGAAACAAAGTTTTTGAACTTGAAAATGCAAAACTAAAGGTTTTGTGTGGTTCATGATAGAAAATGCTGTTCTGCCGAGAATGCTAGTATCCCTGTTTACAGAACAGGGGGCAAGGATTTAAGATATGTACATATAGATATATAGATATAGATATCTATTTTTTGCTACTATACATTGAACAGAAAATAATGGTAACAGGAAGAAGACGTACCTAGCAGTGTCAAGACACAAGCCAAGATCGCTATCAGGGCTCCAGTGCTAAGTCCTGCAGGCAAGATATATGCTTCTGCATTGCATGTCTGAGCAATACCATCTGCATCACAATCACAGACTCTGATGGTGAGGGTATTAGTGCTACTAAGTGAAGGTGATCCACTATCCACAATGAATATTGGCAAGTAGAAAACAGACTGTTCCTGTCTTCGGAACCCGTTTCTTCTGGTTAATACTGTTGCAGTGTTATCTAGATAAAGGAATAAAAAGACAAATATAAAATACATGATCTTTGTAAAACATAAGCCTATAAATAATACAGTATTTCACTTAAAAGACTTTATAAACACATTTCTATTACTTCAACAAGTTTATCTTTCCTGGTCATATATTTGTGAAGCTGCAGAGATAGGATCAATTCAGATATTATACTCAATTAAAGAAAAAGATTTCTGTTTTCCACAAAAGACTTTTGAAATTGCATAGTTAAGAAATTGCAGGCTTTAATTAAGCTCATAGTTCCACACTCTTGATCAATAGTTGAAGATGAGAAAAAAATTCACCCTTCAGTGATCAGTTTAAGTATCTATATACCTGTTTCAGGTCTAATTTCCAAGGAACTATTTAAAATCATAGAATTATTAAGATTATTGGGTTCAACCGTATAACGTAACCATGTCCCTAAGCACCACACCTACATGTCTTTTAAGTACCTCCAGAGATGGTGACTCCACCACTTCCCAGAGAAGCCTGTTCCAATGCTTCATAACCCTTTTGTTGAAGAAATTTTTCCTAATATCCAGTCTAAACCTCCCCTCATGCAACTTGAGGCTGTTTTCTTTTGTCCTATTGCTTGTTACTTGGGAGAAAAGAGAGACATCCACCATGCTCCAACTTCCTTTCAGGTAGTTGTAGAGAGCGATAAGGTCTCCCCTCAGCCTCCTTTTCTTCAGGCTAAACTACCCCAGTTCCCTCAGCCACTCCTCATACGACTTGTGCTCTAGACCCTTCAACAACTTCGTTGCCCTCCTTTGGACACACTCCAGCACCTCAATGTCTTTCTTGTAGTGAGGGGCCCAAAACAGAGCACAGTATTTGAGGTCTGGTCTCACTAGTGTCAAGTGCAGGGGGACAATCACTTCCCTAGTCCTGCTGGCCACGTTATTTTGGATTCAAGCCAGGATGCTATTGGCCTTCTTGGCCACCTCGACACACTGCTGGCTCATATGCAGCCAGTTATTGACTAATACTCCTAGGTCCTTTTCCACCGAGCAGCTTTCCAGCCACTCTTCCCCAAGCCTGTGGTGTTGCATGGAGTTGTTGTGACTCAAGTGCAGAACCTGACACTTAGCATTGTTGAATCTCTTAAAATTAGCCTTGGCCCGTTGATCCAGTCTGTGCACATCCCTCTGTAGAGCCTTCCTACCCTCAAGCAGATCAACACTTCCATCCAACTTGGTGTTATCTGCAAACTTAATGAGGGTGCACTTGATGCACTTGTCCAGATCATTGATAAAGATATTATACAGTACTGGCCCAAATACTGAGCTCTGGGGAACATCTCTTGTGATCCACTGCAGACTGGATTTAACTCCATTCACCATCACACTTTGGGCTCAGCCATCCAGCCAGTTTTTTATTCTGCGAAAAGAGCACCCATGCAAGTTTGTCCAGGAGAATGCTGTGAGAAATGAATCATAGAGTCAGAGAATCAGAGAACTGTGGAATCGTTTACATTGGAAGAGACCTTGAAGATCATTGAGTCCAACGGTTAACTGAACACTGCCAAGTCCACTACTAAACTGTGTCCTTAAGCACCACATCAATACATCTTTTAAAAACCTCCACAGATGGTGACTTCCCTGGGCAGCCTGTTCCAATGCTTAATAACCCTTTCAGTGAAGAAATTTTTCCTAATATCCAATCTCTACCTCCCCTGGCACAATTTGAGGCCATTTCCTCTTGTCCTATCACTTGCTACTTGAGACGAGAGACCAACATCCACTTCACTACAACATTCTTTCAGGTAGTTGTAAAGAGCAATAAGGACTCCCTTCAGTCTCCTTTTCTCCAGGCTAAACAACCGCAGTTCTTCCTTCATAAGACTTGTGCTCTAGACCCTTTACCAGCTTCCTTACTCTTCTTTGGACATAGCACCTCAATGTCTTTCTTGTAGTGAGGGGTCCAAAACTGAACATAGTATTTGAGGTGCGGCCTCACCAGTGCCGAGTACAGAAGGACAATCATTTCCTTAGTCCTTCTGGCCACACTAGTTCTGATACAAGGCAGGATGCTCTTGGCCTTCTTGGCCACCTGGGCACACTGCTGGCTTATATTCAGTTGGCTATTAACGAATACCCCCAGGTATTTTTCCAGCCACTCCACTTGTGACCAGCCACGAACTGGATTTAACTCCATTCACTGCAACTCTTTGGGCTCAGCCATTGAGCCAGCTTTTTATTCAGCGAAGCACATGCTTGTCCAAGCCATGAGCAGACAGTTTCTTCAGTAGAATGCTGTGGGAAATGGTGTCAAAGGCTTTAACTACTAAAGTCCAGGTAGAAAACATTCACAGCCTTTCCTTCATCCACAAAGTGAGTCACCTTTTCATTGAAGCAGATCAAGTTGGTCAAGTAGGACATGCCTTTCATAAACCCATGGTCACTGGGCCAAATCACCTGGTTGTCCTGTGCGTGCCATGTGATAGCACTCAAGATGATCTGCTCCATACCCTTCCCTGGCACCAAGGTCAGACTGACAGGCCTGTAGCTCTCCAGATCTCCTTCCAGTCCTTCTTGTAGATAGGCATCACGTTTGCTGACTTGCAATCAACTGGGACCTCCCTGGTTACTCGGGACCGCTGACAAATCATAGAAAGTGGCTTAATGAGAACTTCTGCCAGCTCCCTCAGTACCCTTGGGTGTATTCCATCTGGCCCCATAGACTTGTGTGTGTCTAAGTGGTAGAGTAGGTCATTAACCATTTCCCCTTGGTTTTATGGGGGCTTTATTCTGCTGTCCTTCCCTGTCTTCTAGCTCTGGAAGCTGGTTAATCTGAGAACAACTGGCTTTCTGATGAAAGACTGAGGCAAAGAAGGTATTAAGTACCTCAGTCTGTTCCTTATCCTTTCTCACTAGGTTTCCCCCCACATCCAAAAAGGGGTGGAGATTCTCCTTAGTCTTCCTTTTGTTGCTAATGTGTTTATAGAGACATTTTTTATTGTCTTTCATGGCAGTAGCCAAATTAAGTTCTAGTTGGGCTTTGGCGCTTCTAATTTTCTCCCTGCATAACCTCACAACATCCTTGCAGTCTTCCTGAGTCACCTGCCCCTTCTTCCAGAGATCATAAACTTTTTTTTTTTGCCTGAATTCCAGACAAAGCTCTCCACTTCAACAGGCTTGTCTTCTTCTTTCCTGATGGTTTGTCTTTTGGCACATGGGGATGGCCTGCTCCTGAGACTTTAAGATTTCCTTCTTGAAGAATGCCAAGCCTTTCTGGGCTCCTTTTCCCTTCAGCAGTGCCTTCCAAGGGACTCTGTCAACCAGGCTCCTAAACAGGCCAAAGTCTGCCCTCTGCAAGTCCAAGGTAGCAGTTCTGCTGATTCTCCTCCTTACTTCTCCAGTAAGGAGAAGGACCCACAAGTCCTTCTCTGTTCACAGACAACAAGACCAGCAGGGCACTTTCCCTTAGTTGCCTCTGTCACCAGCTGTGTCAGGAAGTCATCTTCCACACACTCCGGGAACCTCCTCTATTACCTCTCTGCTGTATTGTATTTCCAGCAGACATCTGGTAAGTTGAAATGCCCCACAAGAACAAGGGCTAGTGATTGTGAGAGTTCTCCCAGCTGTTTATAGAGTATTTTGTCTGCCTCTTCATCCTGGTTGAGTGGTCTATAACAGACTCCCACCCTTCTATATCTGCCTTGTTGGCCTTCCCCCTGATTCTTACCCAGAAACACTCAACCTTTTCATTATCATCATTAAGCTCCACACAGTCAAAACACTCCCTAACATACAGGGTTACCCCACTGCCTCTCCTTCCTTGCCTATCCCTTCTGAAGAGTTTATAGCCATCCATTGCAGTAGTCCAGTTTTGCGAGTCATCCCACCACATTTCCATGATGGCCACTCGATCATAGTTTTCCCACTGCACAATAGGTTCCAGCTCTTCCTGTTCATTGCCCGTGCTGTGTGCATTGGTGTAGGTGCACTTCATTTGGGCTATTGATCCCCTCACCTTTTTGGGAGGAGAAGCCCTAGCTCCTACATGACCATTCTCAGGTACTTGCCTGGTTTCTAACACATCAATAATCCTTGTGTCTTTGCTGCTGCATCGGTCTCCATCCCCTGCCTCCACTGAGATGGTAGACTGAAGGACCTCTTCAGCACACTGTCCCTCAAACATAGGCGTGCTGCCCCCAGGCCTATCACTACCGAGCCTGATTTTATCCCTTTCTCCCTCCAAATATAGTTTAAAGCTCTTTATATGAACCCTGCTAACTCCTGTGCAAAGATCCTTTGCCCACTTTGAGACAGGTGTTCTTCATCTGTTACCAGCACACCTGGTGTCCTGTAGACTATCCCATGATCAAAAAGCCTAGAATTCTCTTGGGGACACCAGGCTTGGGGCCAGGTATTGACCTGCTGGCTCTTCCTGTTTCTTTCCTCATCATTCCCTGTAACTGAAAGGATAGAGAACACTACTTGTGCTCCTGATCCTTTAACCAGTTGTCCCAAGGCCCTGAAGTCTCTCTAGATTGCCCTCTGACTTCTTGTTTCAAATTCATTGTTCCCTACCTGAAAAATCAATAATGGATAATAATCTGAGAGCTGTACCAGGGTAGGAAGCTTTGTCTTCACATCTTTAACCTTGGCCCCAGGGAGGCAGCGGAATTCCCTGAGAAGTGGGTCTGGTCTGTATATTGGGCCTTCTATTCGCTTCAGAAGGGAGTCTCCTATGACAATGAACCACCTTTTTTTTTCTTTACAGAAGAAGTTTTGATGCAGGGCACAGGCAACACCTCCAAGCTGCATGAACCACCGATCTCGTTATTGTTAGGTTCTGCCTGAAGCACCTCATACCTATTTTTCAAGGGCACCTGGGAAGGTGGGGTAGTCACAAAGGAGACACGCCTGCTGTGCCAGGCAGGGACTTGTTGCCATTGCCCCCTATCCCTTAAGCCACTATGTTCAGCCAGGCAGAGAGAGGATAGTGAATCCTCTGTGTTATGCATCCTGTCTGCCCATTGGATCTGTCTCAGGGAAGGCAGGGTGCCATTCCAGTGGTTTGTCTCTCTTATCACCCCCTCCCAGAGTTCTGTCATTAAGCAGAGGAGTTCCTCTACCTGAGCGCACCTCACACAGGTGTGCTCACTGCTGTCATCCCTTACCGACAGAAGAGCAAGGCACACCCTGCAGCCTGACACCTGGGGGGCAGCATGTTCCCACTGGAGCTCCATCTGGGAAGCTGCATCAACAATATCGTGATGGATGCAGAGCTTAGATAGGTCAAGGCTTTCTGCTGGGTGGATACCTTTACTCCCTGGTCAAGGGAGCAAAATTTCAATTATTTACAGATATAGCTATCATATTAACTGAAGAGATAAACATATTAATGGAAGAATAAGTTCTGAAGATCAATAAAATATTTTTTGAATGCAAAAAATATATCAAATTTGTGCACAAATACACATAATTGGACATGTAAAGACATGCACTTGTTTTCAGTCTCAGCTGAGAGTCAACAGATAACTAATATAATCAGTCTAAAATGTGTGCTTCAATGCTGCTCTGAGTCGGGCGATTAAAAAGTCCACGTGTTCCAGCAAATACGTGCAAAACTCACTGTGTTCAATACAGGTTCATAGCTCCTGAGAGGTAGGGTGTTACATCTCCTAGGATGTATAGAAAAGGTCGGTCGATCTGTCTGTCTGTCTATCTGTTTATTTACCTAGCTATTTATAGACAGATATATTGATAGTCCCGTAAAGTTACCTTACTATGTTGTCTATTATGACCTATCTGGCAAAGTATATAAGCACTTCTTGATACAGCATCCTATGAAATATGCATAAAATTAAATAACATCAAGAGAGGCAATTGCTGCTGTGTCTTGTAACTCCATTGATTTTAGTGGCATTACAGAAGTCTATTATTGCTTTTTCCAAATTGTAAGGTCTTTGTAAGTAGGCCTGTCTTTTCATTAAATACTTTATAGTACTTGCAGCAATGTCAGATTTCTGAATAGAGTCTTATTCTAGTGTATTTTTATTATTTTGACCATTATTACTGTTATAGTCCTTATTTTCAAACTGCAAGCTGCTCATATGAAGAAAATTAAGCATGTCAGTAACTACATGCAGAGTAAGGCAATAAACAGCGCTGTGAGAGAATTTTATTAGGCCACATGTTATACTTAGTGAATGTTGTCCAAAGTCTGTCCGTACAAACATTGTCCTGGAGTCCATCATATGTCTATTTTTCTTATTTTATTAATAAGGATGACTTTGTACCTTTGGGTTAGTACTGATCCATAAAAGAGCAATGCAAGAGTAACAGAGTGTCTATTTAGTTCTATTTGCTTCAGTCAGTAGCTAAACTGACTGATACTTTCCCCAATGCCATAATATGCAGTACAACTAACGAGAATACTAATTAGAAGCGTTTTCTCAGATATTTTAACTAATAGAAATATGATGTCAATGGGAGTCTTTGCATAAGTCTTTCGGGAAATAGTCATAAGAAGTCTGTGTAAATACTGTAGGCAGCTTCCATTATAAAAATCATTCTTCAGTAGGTGGGATACTTACTGAAAAGATGTATTTTTCTTAAAAAAAAAACAACTCTTGATTTACCGTGAACTCATTTTTAATGCCCTGAGTTATATCAATAAAACATGAATTCCTAGACATTTTTCAGTCACTGTCCCAAGGTAAAATCTAATTTAGATAAAAACCTACAAATACAAGGAAAAAATGTGAGAAGAGTGACTTCGGGGCGGGGAGAGGGGGGTTGGAAAGAGATTTGAAGCTGCCCTGTTTGGCTCAAGGCTTTAAACAATTCAAACAACAGCTTAATTCCCTTGACAAATAATCTACAGATAAAACTGTTTTTCAGGATGATTGCACATAATTTATGTCCTTACCAGAAAAGAAGTTTATGTCATAATTAGCACAACACATTCAAAATGAAGGGCGTCAGTGGTAAATATTTACCTAAAGAAAAGGTCCTCACCTTTGTTGTCCTGAAGTGTAAAATTGTGGTTATTTGCTGCCTCTGCTGTTAAACTGAAGTAGAACTGATGGCCATTTGGTGGGTCATCTTTATCAATTGCACTGATTTTCTGTATGACCTGTTTTGAGATACATAGGGTTTTCATTGTTTGGAATGGTAAGAAACATAAACACATGTACATTGTATAACTCCTTTATTACCTCTCAAAGTATCAACCCTCTCTTGAGTCCTGCTCATATTGCATTTTGATTTTCTGTTCTCCTCAGTATGTGCAGACACTATTAAAACTAAAATGTGAATCGACTCTTTACTTTGTCTGTACCAACTTTATCAGCCAAAAGCAATGATCTGCAGGGCCTGTGAGAATGTCAGGTCCTTCCATTCACCAGGGCTTGGAGTATAAACTGCACAGCAGTGGAAAAAGTGTATCTTCTGGATGACCCTTAGCGGAATTATTATTAATGCCATAATCAATGTTGAAAACTTTCAAAGGAGAAGATTACGCTTTTGAGCATTTTAATTCATGTCCTGTTTTTTTTCTTTTTTATCATGAAAAAGAAAAAGCCACATCATTAGTACGTTACTATTTTATGGGGTTAATTTTTATTTTATTTTATTTTCCATTTTTATTTTCTAAAAATCTGTCAAAATCTTTCTCTAAAACAAAGTGTCATCTTTGCTTAAAATCCATAAAGAATGAGTAGTCAGAGCTAACAGTACTGACCACATCACAGCGAAAACAAACAGGTACTCCAAGAAGAGCATGCATATTCTGTGTTTCTCATGAACAAATGCTAATAATCATAGTGTTTTCTGTTAGGGATTTAAATTATACTGTGATTTTGAAATGTGTAATAAACAACATCTGCCACAGGAAGAGCAATATTCTGGGAGAAGACACAAAAGCGTAAAGCCTCCCAGGGAATATGTGGGATCTGTGTGGGTGAAACATCTACTAGTTTTCTGGGAAACAGTAGAGAGAATGAGAAAATTTATATATTTTCTGAGGTCTTATGAAGTAGAGAGAAAAAATCCAAATATGAAAGACATTAAGGATAAATAACACCAGATACTTTTAGTTGAGTCTAGGACTACTTGGAGGACTTCTGAGTAGTTAAAAAACACTGTTTAATTACATCTCCCTTGTGAAATGGTGGCCTTATGGCCCATACTTCCTAAGGGAAACAAAAGGATGCACTCGTTTTAGGAATGGTAGGCCTTTAGTCTCAGAATAACCTTCATGTATGACCTCCCACTTCCTAGCAAAATTAGGAGGAAGTATGCATGCATTCTTAATATTCTTCAAAATTGGGTGAGTTTAGCAAAATACGTCAGTTACATCAGTAAGAAAGCCAGAGATTTTAACAGCACCTTCAACAAGTAATATTTACACCTGAGTCTTTCTCTTCAGAGGTGCGGTGAAGATGTTAGGATTTGATTAATATGTGCTTGTGCTGCATAGCAAAGTGTTATTTTCACTACTATAAGCTGATTATGTTTTATCTTAGAGCTGGCAGATGGCTGCCTATCTGATAAAAATAAATGTAAAAAAACTATCAAGCCATACCTGACCAGGTTGAGCATTTTCACAGACAGTTGTCTCATACTCCATAGCAAACTCAGGGGCATTGTCATTGATGTCAAGGATAGTGATGGCTACATAGCCTCTCCCAATCTGTGCTGGATTCTCTATAGGAAAAGAAGCCAACAAAACAATCAAGAGCTCCTTGCAAGGTATTCTTTGGGTCAGCATATTTCTCATTTGCATTCTTCTTTTGCATATGCAAATCAAACCAATTACAACCCTTCCTAGAAAGACAAAGGAACCTCTTGGCCTGATCTTCTGGACCTAGTGGAAACAACGGTTATGTTTTCCAGCCACTGCAATGAAATTAAGATATTGCTCTCGGGGATAAACTGAAAATCTAACTCACTAATCACAGCATCGAATCACATCATATGGAAGGATAAGAGCAAGATGATACAAAACCATCACCAAGGTGTATAGCTAGCCAGAACAGCACTATTCGTATTGGGAATAGCATGGCTATTACGGGTTAAATAAATTTTTGTTGCAATTTATTGCAATTGCAAAATTTTGTTGCAGGCTATTAAGAAGTTAAAAACAGAATTCCGTAAGCTATGTATAACACAAAAAAGAGGAAGCTATATTCCCAGGCAGATACCAAAGTATTTAAAGAGCACACACAACTAAGTATTTCAACATTGTCATTAACATATTGAACACTTTAAATATAAATCACATTCTTAAACTGATGCACATCTCTAGCTAAAATATGAATCTGTGCAGGGTTCAATATCATCATTTAATCTTAAAGAGTGGATATTCTTTGGACTAAGCATACAACACATCAATGTGTGCTATACTTATTTTGCTAAATAACGCTTCTGATTTGGAGCAGGGAAAAGAGGGATTGTATGATTTTTTTAACAGAAGTGGTGATATTAGTGATGGAGCAGGGCAGAATGAAAAACTATACAAACTTTCGAATATGTATCTGTCTTTTTATAGGGTATTGCAACCACATTTGAGTAAATATTTTAAGTACTTAAAGCAATGCATCCAAACGTAGATCATAGAGTGTTTTGGTTAGTTTTGATTTATACCAGAGGAGTAAGCAATTTTGACATCAACTTTTTCTTCTGCTGATCTAAGCTGATTGAAAACCAAGCAGGCCATGAACATAAATTGAAGCATTGTAAGGTATTACTTGCGCTCCTAGACTCTCACTTGAGTCAGATATGCCTCTTGGCTACCTTGTGAGTTTTGTTATTACCCAGGAAAATTTTTGGTTTCCATGCTGGCCTCTTAGACCAAAGTTCTGCTCCTGAGAATACAAGATAAATTCATACAGACACTAAATGATAAGTGTTAGCTTTGAGGTTAAACATTAAATTAACTTCACTGAAAGCAAGAAGTTGAGATTTTTAAAATAGTAGGTTAGAGAACAGATAACCCCTTTATTATCACAGACCAAGAGTAGTAATAAGGATGAAAACTGAAGAAATAAATTCTTCAAATATAAAGGCAAAAATATGTAGTTTTTTACAGAATGTATTCAGAGCTGAACAAATTTAAGTTTAAACTTGCATTAACAGAATCCTTGTTGCATGTGCTTGAGGAAATCAAGTCTTCAACACTTTTCATCTTATAGCAGAAAAGAAACCAAGTACGAAATATCCTCTACAGTCTTATCTTAGAGTCAGGAAAGTGAAACCACACAAGCATTCATATCCCCTTTCCTTCATACCTTTTAAGAATGCTGTGGCTGACCAACAGCAATCAACTCTAAGTGAGAGCCTTCAGTAAGATGAACTAACTGCTCTCCTCTATACTTCATGTCACTTTTACTCTAATGGTACTTGGTCTGAGACTGCTGACTTAACATATTTCATCTTCCTTTGTACTTGTTTTTCGGAAGTCAAAAGACTAAACAAGGTGTAAGGCAAAGGAAAGAGCAAATAATCTGTTTTATTTCTGATTTTTTATTACATAGGTTTCTTTTACATTAGGTAGGAAGTTATTTTTATCTGCCATGGTTTGAAAGTGTCATAATTTCTCTCAATGCAGCTGATCACAATAAAGTCTGAAGTTTTACATATAAACAGCCAATAAAATCTTTAAATTGTTACTTACGACTCTCCATAGCCAAAACTGTGATATTATGAACAGCATTAGTTTCCCTGTCCAAAGATTTGGCAGTTGTAATGACTCCACTGTTGGCATCAATATTGAAATACCTCTCTAGGTCTGTGTTTCGATCTATTGAGTACCTAGATGAAGGATGAAAGAAAACTTTTGATTTATGTTCAATTACAGCTTGTAAAAATGTTCCATTGATTTCTTACTAGACAGAAAGAGTTTCCATTGCTTCCCCATTTTGAACTTTGTTTTGTCCAGTTTCTCTGAGGTGCTGAGAGAAACAAAGCCTTATGCAAAGGCAAGAGAGTTACACAACAACCTGTGCTGACACTGGTGGTCTCTTTCCACAGTGCTCTCTTAAGTAAGGTTATAGGTATTACTCTCTCTTTTCTTTCTTCCTCTCTATTGTAAGGAAAACTTTCATTTATTCACGGAATAGTATCCTCCTGAACCCCAGCTAAGGAGAAGGCGAGTTGGAATTTTGCTACATGGCTGTACCAGCCGGGCACTGCTCCCATGGGGGCTGGCAGTCTGAGCACAGAGCTTTCTATCACCAGTAGAAGAACCTCTGACTCACCCAGAGCTGCAGGGGCAGGGGAAAAAAAGAGAGATGATGCAGAGTAGGTCAAGGGATTGCATGTCATCACTGTCAGCTCCTGGTGCTTTACTGTCATTAGACAAACACAGGCTCATGCCCTTAACTCTTTGGCTCAACATATCTTTTACCTCTGAATTTATTTTGGGAAGGGGAAATGAGCTCCTTAGCAAACATAAAATAGCACAAGGGAAAAGGTCAAAATGCCTCTGGGTGTTTTGCTTATAACCCTTTCAGGAGAAAGGGACAGTTGATTAGGCAGATTTAGATTTACAACTGGAATGTTCTTGACATTCGATTTAATATTGGGTCAGATTCCTGCACTCTCATTTAGATCAAGTATGTACTTGAGAGCACTTCGCTACACTCAGGACGAATTAAAATGTCTGAATCAGATCAAGTGTGATCATTACAATTACTGTCACACTGATGATATATTAGATTACTGATATAACATTAACCAAACCCTTTGAACAACGTGGAAGGAAAGAATTACAGAAGATAGTTTAAAAATGGGACTTCCCAGATATAATGATCTTATGACACCATTTATTTGTTCTTGTGTTGTAATATACCAGCTTTTACTTTGTTATATTACTGTGTTTTTATATATCCTTCTTGCCTGCAAAGTCTTAGAGCAGAGACTTGTTACATAATCAGAATTGTTTTACCGTATTATGTCACAGCAAGAGAGAAAATGGAGTAAAGAGTTGTAACAACAACAATAACAGCAGTTTTCATGGATTAAAGCTCTCCCTATCTCATTTTTCCCCCCTATTTTATGTTAACTGTAGCTCATTTTTTTACTTTATTTCATGCCAGCACTGTTGTTTACTTAGTCAGCAGTGCTCTTCAGGTGGTTTGTGGCTGGCAAGCTTCCCCATGAGATTTTGCCTGTCATCTCTGCTATGTCATCAATCTTGGCAGGCCCCGTAGCTGGGATTCAGTGTCTTGCCAGCCTTTAGGTTTCTCAATTATTAACACTATCACTATGCAATTTGAAGAGCCAAAGACTTTTCTTTAAAAAAGAGTAAGAAAGAAAGAATGAGAGAGAAGGAGAAGAGGTGAGAAACAAAGGGAAAAAAAGTAAGAAAACAATTTTAAATAAGCAATAAAAAGGAGGGAAGGAGGAAGGAAGGAAGGAAGGAAGGAAGGAAGGAAGGAAGGAAGGAAGGAAGGAAGGAAGGAAGGAAGGAAGGAAGGAAGGAAGGAAGGAAGGAAGGAAGGAAGGAGAGGGGAGGGAGGGAAAGTAAACAAGTTATATAAACTGGATAACAGATTCTTATGAAACAAGAAGAAAAATAATTTTTATGCATAGGAAGCAAGCAGTATCCCTTAACTTATTTACAAGTGTTGTATCCATATTCAAATCATAAAAAACCTATTTTAAATACTTTTAATCCCTTAATTCCTTGCAGCCATTAATACTTGAAAATCTTTGAGCTGCAGGAGTTTTAAATCCTTTATTTAAGCTAGTTCAAACATGAATAGTTCTCTGGTCTGTACAAGACAACCTCTTATTTTCAAAATATTTATTACTTCCCCTCACGCCTCAGTATTGTCAAATTTTAATTGTGTTCGATCTTGTAATTTCAATATTTTCTGAATTGTAACAAATCTAATTTTTAATCAATATCAATATAATCCAATGTTTGGAATTTGGAATACTTATTTATGGATTAATAATTTAAACTTCTTAAATAGATCATGAAAGGTATTATGCATTAATCGTCTTTAACATATTCTAATTTTAGGTGAATCTGGATCTAATGTATATCATAGGAGATGCAGGACAGCTTTAAATTATATGATCTGTCACTACCCCCGACAATGTACATAGCAAGTTCCCAAGTATATAGATAAACTTTCACTATTCCTCTTTTTCCTCCCTTTCAAGTTCCAAACATCTCTGAAGCAGAAGAAATCTCCAAGATACTAGTTAAACTGGCGATATAACTACTTTTTTATGCTGGAATTGTAAAAATTAACCAGATCAAGGCCTATAAACTCATCCTTTTGTTTACACAGGAGTCAAAAGCATTCTGAATGTGGACTGCATTTATGGAACTGAATTTAATCCCACTCTACATGATTCTGCTAAACCATATATTACACACCAGATGCTAACATCAGTGCCAGAAAACCCTGCCACAGCAAAGAAAGAGCTCAGCAAAGATAAGTTTTGCAAGTAAATCCATGCCAACCATCCATCTAGGACTTGTTTATACATGGTAGAAATCAGCTATTTTGAATATGTCACTAATATATAACGAGAGAGAGAAGACTTACGTCACCTCTAGGAGTGAAACATATGCTTTATTTTTACAACTTAAGGTTGCTGCTTCTGACATTACAGAGCTACACTAGAGTCCCAAGATCATCTTCAATGCATGAAAGTAAAAATTTAACATCCCAAAAAAAAGTGACATCCAAACGAGTTCTGTACCTGTGAAGAGCTGGGCAGAGAATGGATTGAGAGTAGCCCTGAGGAAAAGAACTTGGGGGTGCCAGTTGATGAGAAGCTCAACATGAGCCGGCAATGTGCGCTGGCAGCCCAGAAAGCCAACTGTATCCTGGGCTGTATCAAAAGAAGTGTGGCCAGCAGGTCAAGGGAGGTGACTCTGCTCTACTCCTGTGAGACCCCACCTGGAATACTGCATTCCGCTCTGAAGTCCCCAGCACAAGAAGGACATGGAGCTGTTGGAGCGGATCCAGAGAAGGGTCACGAAGATGACCCAAGGGCTGGAGCACCTCTCCTATGAAGACAGGCTGAGAGAATTGGGATTGTTCAGCCTGGAGAAGAGAAGTCTCCAGGGTGATCTTATTGCAGCCTTCCAGTATCTGAAGGGGGCCTACAAGAAAGGTGGAGAGGGACTTTTTGCGAGGGTGTGTAGTGATAAGACAAGGGGCAATGGCTTTAAACCGAAAGAGAGGCATTTTAGATTAGATATAAGGAAGAAATTTTTTACATTGAGGGTGGTGAGGCACTGGAACAGGTTGCCCAGAGAAATTGTAGATGCCCCATCCCTGGAAGTGTTCAAGGTCAGGTTGGATGAGGCTTTGGTGTAGTGAAAGGTGTCTCTGCCCATGACAGGGGCGTTGGAACTAGATGATGTTTGAGGTCCCTTCCAACCCAAATCATTCTATGATTCTATGTCTTTTCTACATATGTCCCAATTGAACAAAAACAACAAATGAAACTTAGTACTAACATTTAACTGTGTATGTGTTCCTCCTCCTGCAGATGTTAAAGTTCACAAAGTTTCTGAGTCAGAAGTATTACCCTCTAGATCCTTTACATGTTCCTTTGACAATAAATATTACTGCTCTGCATAGGAAAATTAACAAGTAACTCATTATTGGTTTAACTTAGGTGGTGAGTCTTTGTCCTTGAGCTTTAACCTTAGATATAGGCAAACATAAGATCAATACTTCGTGTTTTCTTATGGTTTCTTTATGATCCTGGACATTAGATTGTGAAAGACTTGCAGGATCTTCAAACACTGAAGACAGAGGAAAAGGCCCTTGACAGTTTTCATGCATCTCTAGTGTTTATACCTCTTCCCATTCAAATGGAAGATATTTGGCTGCAGAAGAATTTACAAAAGCCAAAAGATTATTGCCCTTAATCATCCTGACTAGGACAGGATGTGTTTTGTCCCATTCATTTCTCTCATGTAAAGAGTTTTTATCTAATGTTTTTTTCTCTAGGACCTCAGCTCCAGTTTACCATGCAAGAGTCTGTGTGCTATTAGATTCTTGTGCATAGGGCATGCAGAATATGAATCATTATGCAGACACACATAGACACACACATAGACATATATTAAATATTTATATATATTTTGGTCCTGGTTGATTTAAGAGAACGTAACTTGTTAAAGATGATAATAGATTCTTCCTAAACTTAGAGAGAAATAAATATGAGTAATATTCTGAGGCTTTTTTCTTTCGAATCTTGAAATTACATCTTCGCTTCTTTGTTTTACAGAGATTTAAATATATTATTTTTTTAGAGGTTCTGTAGTTCAGGAGCATAAAAGTCAAAATACGCAAACTTTTAGAACATCTCAATCTCCCTCTACAAGAGATAAAAGCTAACTAATCACTTTTGGTGTAACCAAAGACCCTCCCACAACAAAATGAACAACCTCAATACAAAGGATAAATAAACAAACAATTAAGACATCTTATAATTACCTGACAGGACTATTTGAGGCATCCGGATCATGGGCCGCTACGGTTCCAATGATAGTGCCAACCTTTGCTGCTTCAGACACCACCATGGAGTACAAACGTGATGTAAACACTGGTGGCTCATCGACATCTTCTACGATTATCTTCACTGTTGTCATGTCACTGAAAGGTCCCAGACTCAGGAAGCGAGGGTCGACATGCAAATTGGCTGCTTCTATCCTCAGAGTATAGCTTGTCTTAGCTTCAAAATCCAGCTCCTACACAGGTAAAGTTATTTGGAAAATTTATTATGCAATGATGTTGGTGCAAAACTGTTTCACTTAAAACTGTCAGTAAGTACAAAATGAACTTTGCCGGTTGTACCCAACCAGCATTTCTCATTGGTAAAGCATAGTTGATTGTTCACTTTTTAGCTTTCTCAAAACACTATTTGGAGTGTCTCGCTAGTGAATATTCCCCAATGACTTTAACAGCAAAGGTAGTTCTAGCCTGTGAATGAACAAGAATTCTCTGAATTATTGGCAAAACTTTCTGTGATTTCTGTGAGGACCAAATTCTCCCTTATTAATTTATCATTGTGAATGAATACTTTTTGTCTTATTCATATTTTATCTCACCTAATCTCAAATATGATGTGCCATACTACCCAGACATAAGAACTCAATATAATATTCACTGGTGAAAACACCTGATTCAGAAAATTGGGAGGCAGGATGGTTTGCATAGCATTGGGCTTGACTAATCAATTATTTACTCTGTATAAATTTGTGTAGAAAATGTGGTCATCAGTTGAACTACATTGCTTTTATATTGAGATGCAGCCTGGAGATTGTTTTGGTTTGGTTTGCCTATTAAATAAAAGGCACATTAATTTTTTCCACCTTCATTCTGCTTTGATTTTTTTTGATGAAAGTTTAGTTTCTTTTAGAATAAATACTACTTTAGAATTAAAAATTAGCCCCCACCACTAACAGGATATCTGTGGTCTGCAGAACAGTCCCATAAAGAAAATTATTTTGGAGGCAAAAAAGCATCTTACCTCACAGGCAATTATTGAAAGAAAGCATCATGCTAATATTAACATCATTTACCTTGTATCTGCAGTCTTATTTTGTCAGCTTGCACCAAACACCTGGCTAACTATTCCTTTGCAATTCCAAGTTTAATAACTAAGAATAGCAAAACAAGACACAAGCATTTCTAAAACTGCATTCTGGTTCCTCAGCTAACTTTTCAAACTGTAATTCCGAGTGTATAAAACAGATTAAAAAATGTTTTCTGCAGTTCTGATTCTGAATACATCATAGGGATCAGAAATGTGCTTGCAAAGTAATCTGACAGCATCTACAAAACATTCCTGTACTCACTCAGAGAAGCAGCAGAGGTGAAACACACATCTGTTGACCTACAAATGCAAGGGTCTAAGTTCTCAATGGAGATCTGAGTTACAGTGGGACAAATCCCCACTGAGCATCTTAAAGTCAGTGATTATGCTGACGTTACAATACAGCTGTGAACAGTCTAGATTTAAAAATGAAAAAATGAATTGCAATACATCACACTCAAAAAGGCACTGAACTTTTATAAACTCTACGTGGCAGCAAAAGGCTTCTCTGAACAGGAATATATGCGATCCTCATGTTATGCAAGCACTTACTTCTTGCACTGAATCAGAGTTGCAGTATTTGTAGCTCTCCAAACACAGATATGCCATAAAAGAAAAGTTGTCTGGATATTGGTTACTATACTGGATACAACTGGTCAGTATTTATTACTAAAGCCTGTTAAATTGCTTTTGACTTTAATTTTGGTTCTGTATTTAAAATACAATATGTGTGCTATGACACAAACCTCACAGCCATAATGCAAATGTAATGTGGTGTTAGGATGATGAAAAATGTCTCAGAAACTATATTGTATGGTGACAACAATTAAGCAGATTGAGCAGCAAGGCTAAGAAGATAACCAAGCACACAAATTTCTTAAGACCTTCATTTTCTAACAAAAGCAACGTATTAACTAAAGAAATGATAACTTAAAGAATGTCAAAGACAAAAGGCTAAGATTTGTTGAACTGAAAAAAAAAAAAAAGCAAGCCTTTAGTAAACAGTATATTTTCAGTCAGAATGTACAAAAATATGTAGCAGAGAGGGGAAGGCTAATTCATTCTCATTAATCAGGGATATCTGTTGAAATCGGAAGATTGAGATTACAGTGATATTAAATTAAACACATGGAAATATATAATGAGACTGCAGACAAGATGGCTTCTTATGATATACTAATGTCAATACCACAGTCATCCTAAGAAAAAAAGATTATTAAAATTCTATTTAAATAGAGAAAGTGCATAGAGCACAATATATGTAACTGGACAAATTATATATATTTTAATTTGAATAGAATAAGCACAACAATGAAGAAATATTATATAATTTTTAAGACATTTGCATGTTTCTATATTGATTAAAGAAGACTGACTTAGAACTTTAATAATAAAAATCACAGAAACATGTGTTTTCCATAAGAATGTTTATCACAAGGGCTAACATGCACTTTTAAATCATGATATTTCATTTTTAGAAGGTAGAAAGAGATCATTCTTTATTTGACTGGATTACAGGAGTGTTAAAAAGTAGGGAATACATAAATCCCACTTTCATTAGATAAGTATTGCCTCATAGAGAAGGATGAAAAAGCAGTGGCGGTGTAGATGCATATTCTAAACAGGTTTGCTTACTAAAAGCAGGTTTCATCTTCTCCAACTTAGTCATGTACATTGGAGAAAATCACCAAATGGTGTTTACTGTAGTAAAATTCTTCTAGGGAAGAAATCAGCTAGTCTACTTGAGAACACCTGTTTTTCACCAGTCACCACTGAGGGAGTCTTAATAACTGGAAGAAGTAAACATCTACTTTCAGCAACATGAATCCTGCCCTAGGATTCCCTCAGATATCTTCTGGTACCCAATGCTGCTGATAATTTTCAAAAGCTATAACGGTCCTTGTTAATGAAAAATAAATAAATAACTACTCTAATGTATGTACATATGCAGTTGGGAGCAGTTGATGTTTAGAAGAGGGGAAGGATGGATGAGCAAAAGGGGTTTCACAACATCAAATGGCATTGTGTTATACAGGGACAATAATATCGTTTTATTTTAGTTCTTTGTGGCAGAGTCCATCTCCTGTAGGGTGTGGCAATGTCTACAAAAGCTACAGTCATTCTCAGTCTGTTCCTGTAAGATACAAATCCTCACATCCTATGGTGAATATACAGGTACCAAGTTTTGAGAAAGAATGTAATCTGGGAAAATAAACAAACCTTTAAGATACGATTAGCATGCAAGAGTTCTTGACAAGGTGGAAATGTTTCAACAATTCGTAGATAACATAATGAAGACATTACACACTACATACATTAATGAAAGACTGAAAGAGTGAACTGAAAAGATTTCCTTTTTTTCTTTCTCCTTATCTAATTATCACTGATATCTATTATACAGAGAGAATTATTTGACTGGCCTTTGGATCGTGCCTTCATTATTTCCTGATATAACCAAAGCACATGATTCTAATAACGGAACACCAAGTCAACAGACTACAAATCACTACATCAGTGCTGAAGGTTAAATGGACAACGTATACTTCAGTCCTTCAGTATAGTGAATAGAGCTTGACAGCTTCATTAATATCTGTGCATTAGTGTTATCTGATTAGATCCTGTGCAGGATCCATTAATCTTTCTCTCATTTGGGGTTTTGCGGGACTTCCTTCCTTTCTTTTTTTTTTTTTTAATTCTTTTAAGGGGTGAGAATTTTATCCTGTCGGAAGGAAATGACAAAGCAAGTCATCTATATTACAGAGGCTGGACATGAAGTTATCATTCACAGGAAGCCCATTTTTGTAATGTTCATTTTTTATTGTATGGTAGCTTTGTTATAATGTGCTTTTCAGAGATGAAAATTCCATTTTTAAGACCAGTTGAGGTTTTATATTGAAAACTGCAGTACATCAAACAAATGCACATTATCTCTCAAAGGAACCATGGAAGCCTCAAGTTCTTACATTGTAAACTCTGATACAGAATTGAAAGAAAATTTTCTAGCTGAAATAAAAAGTTAAATCTTAACAGTAATAGAAAGACAGCTTTTCACTCAAAAGCTTACACATAAACCCCTATTTTTATAATTGTCAGTATTACTCTTAGAATGTACTCAGGTTTTAAAATAATCTCTTAGCCGTCAATTTCTATGCGAAAGTACTTTGTAAGACTATTTTCACATTTTTCCCCTCTAACATTCAAATTGGTTGGTGATATTGGTGGTAGGGCTGTATATTAGCGGAGAAATGAAGGCAAAGTGAGCAAGAACTATACCATGAGAAATCTTAATGCTTGTCACTTGCTACAGTAAGACACAACAACCCTCTCTCTACGGAGTCTTCAGGTTTGTTTTTTTTTCACTTATATCCACTAAAATCTCTCCACAGACTTCAAAATGGCTTGAATCAAATCTCGTAACCTTCCAAAAAGTCACATATGATACAAATAATAAAAATATACCTTGCAGTCTTTTTTATTATTAAATTACCACTATTACTTTAAGCACCAAGTATTTGATAAAGGTGTAGGTTGATACAGATCATCTATCAGGTTTTTATCTTAAGATGTTTTGTAGCTAAGCTATTATTATTACTGAAGTCTAACTATATCCTGCAACTTTGTGAATAAAGTGAGATCTGTCCTTACATAACGCCTTTTTCAGCACACTATTTTTAGGAGTAGTACTTTGGAAGCTACAAACAACATTGTCTTGTGCACGCATTTTGCTTAGAAAGTGAAGCCAAGATTACATTCATATGTATTACAATCAGGATTCTGTGAACTGTCAACACGAATTCACTTTGCTATTGTACACATGTAGGTTTGCATGGACACTTCAGAATGTGTTGTATTAAATGACTGAATCATCATTCACTTCCATAAACATTTCTTCAGTTCCAAGGTTGCTACTGCATAGACAAATCCAACGCATTTTTTAAAACTTCAATATATTCAGTAAAATTACACTTTTCTTCCAAACACCCTCACCACTGTGAAATGTAGCTATGCAAATGATCTGAGTCCTTACTAATAGGGCATTGATAGCAGAATGTAAGCTACAAATAAAACCACAAGAAGGAATTGATTTTATTCTGCAGATGGAGAACTGAGTCACAGTGTGAACCAGGATAAAATTCTCAAATATTTCTAAGA